TTATATTAATATTTTTTCACAATATCACATCTATTTGTATTGTAAATTTATCCAAAATAAGTACAGGTGCTCCAACAAAATGTATACTGACATGAGTCTCTCCAATATGCAGTGCCATGCTTGCATGAAAAGTCATGTAAAATGAATACTTCTCACATTCCATATTTATTGTATGTGTAAACCTGTGCAGTTTTTCTAAAATTATTGGCAACAGACAATGCTTTCTTACATTATTTACATAGGCTGTCTCTTTAGAGGGGATTCTTCAATGAATTTCAAGGTAAGTGCAAAAACTAAAGGGTTTCCACTTTTATTAAGTGCACATGCCTTCCCTCTCATGTGAATTCTATATTTTAATGCACTGAGAAAAATTAAAAAATTTCCCACATTGATCAAAAGTGTTCTTATTTTCACTATGAATTCTTTCATATATATGATACCTGTGTGTACTGCAAGATTTTGATACAGCTTACCAAGAAAGTTCTTCTCTTCAGTGTGGGTTCTTCCATGTTTTTAACAACTGTTTGTGCTGAAACCTTTTCCACATTGCTTACTTTCTTGGTAGTGGGATTTTGTTCACATATTTGACAATAACTGTGTGTGCTGAAAGCTCTCCCACATTGCTTAAATACATAGGGTTTCTCCCCAGGGTGAGTTCTTTTATGCACTTGACAACTATCATGTGCACTGAATGCTTTCCCACACTGCTAACATATGTATGGTTTCACTCCAGTGTGAGTTCTTTCATGTACTTGACAGCTATCGTGTGCTGAATGTTTTCCTATAGTGCATATATAAAAAGGTTTCACCTAGTGTGATTCCTTTCATGTTTTTGAAAATAACTGTGTGTGGTAAAAGCTTTCCCACAGTGCTTACATGTGAAGGGTCTCACCCCAGTGTGATTTCTTTCATGTTTTTGACAATAACTATGTGTGCTAAAAGCTTTCCCACATTGCTTACATGTGTAGGGTTTCTCCCCAGTGTGAGTTCGTTCATGTATTTGACAATGACTGTATGTACTGAAAGTTTTCCCACATTCCTTACACACATGGGGTCGCTCCCCAGTATGAGTCCTTTCATGTTTCCGGCATGCACTTGGGGCGCTGAATGCTTTGCCACATTGCTTACATACATATGGTTTCTCCCCAGTGTGAGTTCTTTCATGTACTCTACAACTACCACGTGTGCTGAAGGCTTTCCCACATTGGTTACATACATATGGTTTCTCCCCAGTGTGAGTTTTTTCATGTTCTTGACAACTACCCCGTGTGCCAAAAGCTTTTCCGCATTGCTTACATACATATGGTTTCTCTCCAGTGTGAGTCTTTTCATGTTTTCGATAAGAACTATTTCTGCTGAAAGCTTTCCCACACTGCTTACATACATATGGTTTCTGCCCAGTGTGAGTTCTTTTATGTACTTGACAACTACCGTGTGTACTGAAAGCTTTACCACATTGCTCACATACATAGGGTTTCATCCCTGTGTGAGTTCGTTCATGTATTTGACAAAGAGTGTGAGTTCGAAAAGATTTCCCACACTGTTTACATGAATATGGTTTCTCCCCAGTGTGGGTTTGTTCATGTCTACGACAAATACGACGTGTGCTGAAAGCTTTCCCACATTGCTTACATAAAAAGGGTTTTTCCCCAGTGTGAGCCCTTTCATGTGTTTGACAATAACTGTGTGTGCTGAAAGCTTTGCCACATTGCTTACATACATAGGGTTTTTCCCCAGTGTGCATTCTTTCGTGTTCTCTACAAAGAGTGTGTGTTCTGAAACCTTTGCCACATTGCTTACATAAAAAGGGTTTCTCCCCAGTGTGAGTTCGTTCATGTTCACGACAATTATTATGTCTGCTGAAAGCTTTCCCACATTGCTTACATACATAGGGTTTCTCCCCAGTGTGAGTTCGTTCATGTACTCTACAATGAGTGTGTGTG